TTCCTCCTATATGCTTTTCCCAGACTTACATCCCCCTTCCCACATTAGACTTCCTTGTTCTGTACAATGTTTTATTTTAATTTTTATTTATTTTTGTTATACTTTAAGACCCAGTAATCCCATTACTGGCTATATACCCAAAACATTATAAATCATTCTACTATAAAGACACATGCACATGTATGTTTATTATGGCACTGTTCACAATAGCAAGTACTTGGAACCAACCCAAATGCCCATCAATGATAGACTAGATAAAGAAAATATGGCACATATCCACCATGGAATACAATCTGTTTTTTAAGTAACATTAATTTCCGTATAATTTACAGACAGTAAATCTCACCCTTTTTAAATCTGTAGTTTGGGTTTTGACAAATGTGTACACTTCTGTAACCACCACAGTTAGGATGTAGGATGTTTTCATCATCCTCAAAGAGTCTCTTGCATTCCTTGCTACATAATTCCCTCACCTTTTCCCAGTCTTTTCCAAAATTTTCTGTAAATTGAATCAGGTAGTATATATCCTTTTGTATCCGGCTTCCTTTGCTTAACAAAATTTATTTGATATCCACCCATTTTGTTGTATGTATCAGTAGTTCATTTTTCTTACTCAGTAATATTTCACTGTAAGGATGTATACCACATATTGCTTTTCTGATGATGTACATTTGGGTTGCTCACACATTTTTGGCTTTTATGAATAAAGCTGCTATAAGCTTTGTTTTGTGAGTGTGAGGACATTTTCATTTCTCTTGGATGAATTTCTAGGGATGAGATTGTTGGGTCATATAAATGTGTGTTTAACTTTATAAGAAGTTGCCAATCTATTGTTAAAAGTAGCTCAATGGTTTCACATTTCTATCAGTTCCGGTCCCTGAGAGTTCCAGTTCCTCCACATCATGTGAACACTTGGCATTGGCAGTATTTTTAATTTTAGCTATTCAGGTAGATGTACAATGATATCTCATTGTGGCTTTAATTTGTATTTCCCTATTAAATAATGATATTGAGCATCTTTTTACGTGCTTAATTGCTATCTCTGTTTCTTTGGTAAAAAGTCTGTTCAAATATTTGCCCTGTCTTAGAAAAAATTGGGTCGTTTATATTCTTTATTGATACAATCTATTATTTTCACCTAGATTTAGGTTTCAGAAACCCTAGTGGAAGTTTGAGGAGATTACAAGGTGAGGGACATTTCAAGCTTGCCTTGTTAGGGTTGTTGGTGAACTAGCATTTATTGGGCATTTATCATGTGCCAGTCACAGAGCAAGGTAGATTCACATCAGGTGGTCTCATCTTATGCTTTACAGTAATCCTGAGACATACCTATTATTAACCCTGAGGTCACACAGCTAGTAGATGTCAGAGAAGGAATTAAATTTAAGTCTTCCTGGTACACTCTTTCCACTTCCTCAGGTGTGACTCCAAGGCTTGTTCTCCACAACTGACTGGTTAGTTTCCCAGCCAAATCCCTTGCACTGCTCTGGGTGTTTTAAAAGCAGCCCTCAGGTGAAATAACACTGCTGGCACTGACATGCAAATTGGAACATTGAGCTTAAGGCAAAGAGAAGGCTCCCAGTTTTATTTCAGTCCTGAAGAAAAAATCCTATCCATTTCAGAAGATAGAAAAGTGAGAGTTCTCCAGAGAAGTGGAAGATCTGAAGTGTTCATTTACATGTCAGCACCCAGGGATGTGCATCTCTCAGCTGAATTGCACTGCTGTGTTACCCACGGGCCTAGGTTTGGGGTCATTCCTGGGAATTGGACCCCATTTTCAACCCCAGTTGTGTTTCTGCAGGCTGTAAGGACCTTGGGCAAACCATATGAACACTCTGGTCTTGATTTTCTTATCAATAAAGATGATGGATGAGGTCTTCTTACTATACCTGAAGTTACAGGATTGAATTACGAGCAGGGTTACTAACTCAGTTTAACACTGAAAGTTCTCCATCTCAGGTAAACTAGGAAAGTTAGTCACCCTACTTATAGGATGCATGTAAAACATCTGTGCTTTTATAGACTCTCAGAATATGAGAGCTGTCATTGTTGAATGTGCTTTGGGGCATTCGATCTGTGAGTCTGAAAATGACTCATTGTATTTCAGAACTAATGAGGCCCTATGAATGATTCCAGGTTCTTCAAATTGACTTTAAAAATAGTTCAAAGCAAGACTCTGGATTTGAATTGGAGGAACAATATTGCCTTTCTGAATAAGTGGCCTTAGAACTTTCTGATGCAGCTCCCCAAAGGCTCTAACCACAATGTAAATGTGTTTTAGGATGCTAGCTGTGTTTTAGAATGCCAGTCTCCCTGGCTGGAGAAGGGAAAGCTCTCTGAAAGAGTGCTTTCACTGGCAGAACAAAAATCAGCTCAATAATTTTTTTTTTAAAGTTGCATGGTTGGTAGGGTTTGTATCATTAAAAATCTGACTCCGTATTTCCCATGGGAACCCTCATTTGGGAAAAAACTGCTCTTGTAGGAAAGAATCTGGGACTTGGATGGTACGACATTGAATCCTGGATCTGCCCTTTCTAACAGTGAACTCTTGGACAAGTCACATTTTCTTTGAGTCTCAGTATCCTTTACTGTTCAGGAACTGTCTAGACCCAAAACTCAAATTCAATAGTGCATGAGCAAAGCCTATGATAATTTCTTGCCTGAATCTGAATATATATCTGTCCGTCACTTTAGTTTTGTTGGATAAATGAGTCCCACGTGCATTCAAGGTTTTCTATTATTCTATTTAAGGAAGTGAACAAAAGAACATCAGAGTTAAAGGAGCTGGGGGATAGGTGCATAGGATCGTGTGGTCTTTCCTGAGAAGGATACCCTCAGATGATACTGCATGAGTTCGTGTGCCCGGGAGGTCTAAGGGGTTGGATTTGAGTGGCAGGACACCACCAGGGGCCTCTTCAACTGACCCCGAAAACCTGCTCTCCTGCCTATCTTGCTTGCTCTTTGGATGAAAGTAATAATAACCTTTTAAAAATATATATATATTTTGGAGATTTTTGAGCTCACAATGTCCTACCCCAAGCCTTTGCTCAAGTCATTCCCTTTGCCTAGAATGCTCTTCCTTCCCTCTCTGTCACTTTATGTCACCCAGTTAATTCCTACTCAGCCTTCAAAATTCAGTTCAATACCTCAAGGAAGCTTTCCCTGATTTGAACCTTTCCCTGCATACCTTATAAGTCAGGTTCCTCAGATAGAGGGGAATAACACACACTGGGGCCTGTTGGAGGTTGGAGGGTGGGAGAAGGAAGAAGATCAGGAAAAATAACTAATGGGTACTAGGCTTAATATCTAGGTGGTGCAATAATCTGTACAACAAACCCCCATGATACAAGTTTACCTGCACATGTACCCCTGAACTTAAATTAGAAAAAAAAAGTAAAGTCCCTGTTGATGTGATATCACACATTCTTAGTTGTGAAATCTGTCTAAATATATGTCATGAGGATAGGGACAGATCTGTCTTTCCAGGCAATTTCTCCAATCCTAATGTAGTAGCAATCATATCAGGGTACCTATTTGGTAATATTTTATCTAAGACTTACTTCCTCGGACAGGATGGTCAATGTTCTTATGCAGCCCATATTTTAGAGGGGGAGAGAGAGAGATACTAAACAAGTAAACAACTAAATAAACATTACAGATAATAAACAACCAAAAAAGAAAAATACTTGACACCAGTGACCCCTTAACTGTAGGCATATATTCAGACCCCCTGTCTAACCATATTTATTCAAGGCAGCAAACACATAACCATAATCCAGCCTGTTCTCTGGAATGGCCATGTATCTTAGAGCCTCAGAACCTGTCCTTGTTTACTTCTTTCTACGTTGTTTGCAGGGTTTAAGTTGTGCTCACCATATTGACATTAGGAAATATGCAGGAAATGTGCCACCAGCTCCCCTTCCTGGGTTCATGTTAGTCATTGCAAACCAATCACAGCACTCTTTCCTATTGAGTTCAGCCTTCGCCTTGGAAGCAGGCATTCCTTAGCAATCAGTTCGAGGTCGTGTACAAGATGAAACTCTGGTGCTGTCCTTGCTAGGCTTACAGCTTTCTTAGTAATGCCTTCTCCCTTGCTTAGACCAGACACTCAGTCTTCATTGCTCCCCTCCTCAATTTCTAAACCTGAATTATTCAATATAATGGTCAATTGACACATGTGGCTATTTACATTTAAACATGATTAAAATTAAATTAAAAATTCAGTCACTCATTTGCACAGCTCCACTTCAAATGCTTAAAAGTCATAAGTCAAATGACTACCATGTTGCACAGTGCAGATATAGAGTGTATCTATTATTGCAGAGAGTTTTATAGGACAGGGATGTTATGCAGTAGGACTTTACCTCTCCTAGCCTGCCTCAGCTGTTGTTCTGAGAAGCTGTGAAGCAAGTCCTTTGACAAGGACGGAGATTTTACAACTTCCCTGGGTTTGCTTTACGTTCTTGGTGACTTACAAATTGTTTTAGAATTACCAATATTGTTGTGTATAGAGGCAGTTTAGAGCAAGATCTCTTTCAAAACCTTTGGCTAGTGGGATTACTATTTTTACTTAGGTATTCTGTTGAATCTTGGTATTTGCCCTTGACCGTTATAGAAAGCAATCTTTGGTAAGGGGTTCCAAGAGATAACTTTTCTATTACTCAAGTTCAAAGCCTTTATTAGTGGGGTTAGTGGAACCACTGCCTGAAGCACCATTGACATCTCCTCTTGGCCATTGACTAATGATTGTCTTCACACTGTGGGGATTACTGTAATGGTACTTATTGTCAGAATACACAGGCAGAGAAATCTTGCCAAGAGCCCAAATCTAATATCATCAAAGAGCCTCCATGCTTGCAACAACAATGCAGGGAATAATTTTCAAATTATATAATGGATAAAGAATACTAAGTTACAAAGTTGCACTCTTAAGGTGTTTGTCCTATTCTTCTTCTTACATCTTACTCAATAAAATTTCAAGTACGTTATGATTGCTAGTGGTTTTAGATATAGATAAATAAGAAAAAGAATATCTATGAAAAGAAGTCTGATAATAGATATTACCTTTTTAGTCCTTGTATTTCTTCTTTTAAATCCATGAGTGAGAAGAGTAATCTTTTTAAGATTGGAGAAAGGACGGGGGAGTTAGTCCTGAAAGATCCTAATATGAGACTTGCTGTGCCTTTGTCTGGCGCATTAACTGTCAGCAGGAAAAGAGATGGGAAAATGGCCCCAGGGTGGATTTGGTGAATTTCCTCGCTGTTAGCTAGGATGAAAATTTGAATGACACCTTGAAGTGATCTAAAACTCTTATTTACACATCCAGTTAGCCGGGAGGCCCCCAGGCATCACGTTCAGAATGTAGCAATGCATGGAAGACAGTGAGAGTGGGAGACGTCAGCCTTCTCTCCTCCATTTCAGCAGTGGCAGATAATCTGAACCAAGGGATAGGAATACAGTTGATACAGAGAACAATAATCGAGAAAGAAAAAGATATATAGCTATGCCAATAAAAATGACATCTTTCTGGTATTTTTACATACCATTTAAATAAGTATTAAAACATAGAGATACAGAAAGACTAACATATTTGCCAAAAGTTGGAGATGTAACCAAGGCAACCATAATTGCCCTTTAGTCATTACCTTCTTATTTCTTTATGTTTGAACTGAAGACATGAAGCTAGAGCTCATTCCAGAGTCCTTTGCGTCAGGGAGTTCACTTTTACCACTGACATTTACTGGTGAAAATATGGACTCTTGGTGTCTGTGATGTCAACAGCTTCAAGCAACTTGAAACCTAGAAGGGCACATGAATAAGGAGCAAGAATGAGGAAAAACTGCTGTAACTCCTTGCTGTAACTATTGTGTCTTCCCATGCTCACTACTCAGAAATGTGCACTCACTTTCTGTATGTGGTTGTAGCAAAAGCACTCAGCTCAGAATCACGCCAGCTGGGAGGCACAGCCTAAATATTGGGTGGTCGCGTGTCCATTTGTTCTACTTTCAGTTTCCAGGCAATTTTGGAATTCAAAGAAACCTCCTTGTTTACGGCACCAGTCCCTGAATTCTATAGAGATTCACTATCTGTGGCAATATCAACATGGCAGATGTTGCTTCTCTGGTTGCGTATCGTTTTAGTGAAGGAAGAAGAGGTAGAGAAAAAAGAAAATCCTTGAGGGAAAAGCAATATTGAAGACCTAACATTTCACAGCTGCTGTGATGTTTGAAATTTATGTGAAGTCTTTATTTTGATGCATCAATTTAATTGTGGCCTAGAGCTGAGATTTGCATCTCTGAGGCTATCCGATGTAGAGTTACAACAATAAAGTAACACCACACACTTCACTACATTGTTTAGTATTATTATTATTTTTTTCATTTTTCTTTGGTGTCAGTTGCATAACAGCTGTCTTTGAAAAACTCCAAGTTCTATAAAGGGTTAATTTTGCACTGGGTTAGCGACTAAGGTCTAACCTTTTTCAGGGCTAGACTGAGTGTCTATTTGGTGTCAGGTAGGTAAAGCAGTCTGTTGTTTGAGCTGAGAATCATATCACTCTCTAAAAACAGTCTGGCTCTCTACTGATGATTCATCAGAAAAATGAGCCTGGTAATTGAATTGGGAGTTGAAAAGGATCACAAGGAAAGCAACCACATTCGACTTTTGGCGCTGTCATGTGAAATCCTGTTAATGTGCAATACATAAAGCAACGATCTCTCATAGTGGACTCTTTTAGCAAATGCAGGCTACTTATTATTTATTTTTTTTTTTTCGCTCTGATCAGTTACAAGAGACTGTCCGTCACTGCTGTTGAATCAGGGTGGGATTTGGAAACAAAATTGGAAAATGAGTCTTTCTGAATGCCTGTGATGCCTTTTATGTGTTGATCAGATTCTGGGAAAGAAATCTGGGTTCTAAAGGAAAAGATGACAACTCAGAGAAACGCGAATGGTGGAATTTTCTCAGAAAAGAATTGATCCTCTTTTTGAGCATGGTTGTGATAAAAAAACTGTTACAACACCTGTAGCTGCTTTACTTTGGAAGGAATCAGGTTTTGCTTCCAACTGTATGGATAGTTGGTTTGTATAGGTTGGACAAAATAACCATCTTTTGGCAAGTTAAAGGTTTAACTCTTCTCTAGAGAGGCGTTTCTCCATAGGGATGATTTTGGCCCTCCCTCTAGGGACATTCAGTCATATTTTGGCTGTCACAGCCATTGGTGGGGTGCTCCTGGCATCCAGTAGGTAGAGGCCAAGGATGCTGATAAATATCCTGCAATGCACAATGCAACCTCCTACAATGCCAAATTATCAGGCCCAACACGTCAGTAGGGCTAAGGCTCAGAAACCCTGATCTGAAAAATATTCTGAGACTTTGGGGTGTTGTTTTTGTATATCCTTTATGAGGTTAATATTTTGAAGGGAAGTTTTAAAACAGAACGTGTAATGCTTTGTCTCGTTGTGAGGTAGTCAGGACCCCCAAGTCTGTAAATATATCCTTTTTCCAGATCTAATTTAAGAGACTAGTGTGAGGGGAAAGTTTCTTAGACCACGAATTCCAAGCGTTGTCTTTTCTGTAATAAAATTGAGATTTACTGGGACCCTTTCTATTGTTTTGAAGGTGGAAGACGGGAAGCTTCTCTAAAAATCATAGTCTCAGACTTTAATGAAGATTCTCTCTCTCTCTCTTTTTTTTTTTTTTCCTAGAGATGGAGTCTCGCTATGTTGCCCAGGCTGGTCTGGAACTCTTGGGCTCAAACGATCCTCCCACCTAAGCCTCCCAAAGTGCTGGGATTACATGTGTGATCCACCATGCCTGGAAAGATTGTGTCTTGATGCCAAACTATGTATGCTTTGGGTTTCTAAACCAGTGATTTCAAATTGTGTAGCTGTTTTACTGTCATTAAATTTTGCTACAAACATTTTCTGATCTTGTACAATATGGATTAGTCCATGCTTATGAATTTTCAAACCGGGAAAAACATTGTATCCCAAATAGTTTACTTAAAAAACACATGCAATGTAAGGCTCAGAATACTTAGCTCTGTAAAGTACTGGAGACCAAATAAATCATGTTAAAAAAAAAAAAAAAGAAAAAAAAAAGAAAAAAAAAAAAAAAGAAGGCTACTTAAACTTATCCAGTAGGTAGAAACTTTAAACAAATGCATGCACAGTCCTTTTTAATTTTGATAAGCATGAATAAGGAAAATGCTTTATTAAGAAGGAAAACTCTCTTGATTCCACCTTAAATCTTGAAAGATTTAATCTATCAGATTTGTTACTTAGTCTCTTTATTCACTAAAGTTAAAGCAGCAGTCCGTGTGAGATGGTCAAGAAAGGGTCCCATATCAGTTGCTACACCCAGAGCCCAAAGTAAGAAATGTGATGCTTTATTTCAGGTGTTGGCTAACTCTTTCTGCAAAGTGCCAAATAGTAAATATTTTGAGTTTTTTGAATCACACAGTCTCTGTCTCAACTATTTAACTCTTTTATAGTGTAAAGCAGTCATAGACAAATGAATGGATGTGTTTATATTATAACAAAATTTTATTTGCAAAAACTGGTATTAGGACCAATTTGGCCATCAGATCACAGTGTGTCCACCACTGCTTTATTTAATTCATGCAGCTTTATCATGCGCAAATGCATGATTCTTGTTACATTTTTTGCAATGGTGAGGATTATTTATGAAACTATGATGCTTTATTCAAAGCCTCCAGGTTGGGAATCATTGCAGGATGCACTTAAGTGTGGGTTTATGGGCCACCTACAACCTAAAAGGCAGAGAAAATGCCATGTCCACAAATTGACTTTGTTAAAACATGATTCCGTGTTCGTGGAAATGATTTAATAGGGTCTGTTAGGTGATTATAAAAATAAACAGCCTTCTCTAATATTTGCTAGATTTCAGAATTAGTGAGAAATCAGGTTGAATAAAAAAAGATCAGCCATTTCAAAACAGGATTCTGTGAGGACATGAACTGTGCCATGAACTGCTGGTCAGAATGGTGCAAGAGATGAGGACAGAATTGTTAGACATTCCTTGACACTGTCCTTGGCAGTATGTGATGAGGTCTGGAGGTGTGTTGCTCAGTTATAGTCTAGGTCTTCCTGATACGGTTTTTTTTTTTTAATTTATTTTTTATTTTTTTATTTTTATTTTTTTATTGTACTTTAAGTTCTAGGGTACATGTGCACAATGTGCAGGTTTGTTACATATGTATACATGTGCCATGTTGGTGTGCTGCACCCATTAACTCATCATTTACATTAGGTATATCTCCTAATGCTATCCCTTCCCCCTACGCCCACCCCACAACAGGCCCTGGCGTGTGATGTTCCCCTTCCTGTGTCCAAGAGATCTCATTGTTCAATTCCCACCTATGAGTGAGAACATGCGGTGTTTGGTTTTCTGTTCTTGAAATAGTTTGCTGAGAATAATGGTTTCCATCTGCATCCCTGTCCCTACAAAGGACATGAACTCATCTTTTTTTATGGCTGCATAGTATTCCATGGTGTATATGTGCCATATTTTCTTAATCCAGTCTGTCACTGATGGACATTTGGGTTGGTTCCAAGTCTTTGCTATTGTGAATAGTGCCGCGATAAATATACGTGTGCATGTGTCTTTATAGCAGAGTGAATTTACAATCCTTTGGGTATATACCCAGTAATGGGATGGCTGGGTCAAATGGTATTTCTAGTTCTAGATCATTGAGGTATTGCCACACTGTCTTCCACAATGGTTGAACTAGTTTACAGTCCCGCCAACAGTGTGAAAGTGTTTCTATTTCTCCACATCCTCTCCAGCACCTGTTGTTTCCTGACTTTTTAATGATTGCCATTCTAACTGGTGTGAGATGGACTCTTGTGGTTTTTGATTTGCATTTATCTGATGGCTAGTGATGATGAGCATTTTTTCATGTGTCTGTTGGCTGCATAAATGTCTTCTTTTGAGAAATGTCTGTTCATATCCTTTGCCCACTTTTTGATGGGGTTGTTAGTTTTTTTCTTGTACATTTGTTTGAGTTCTTTGTAGGTTCTAGATATTGCCCTTTGTCAGATGAGTAGATTGCAAAAATTTTCTCCCATTCTGTAGGTTGCCTGTTCACTCTGATGGTAGTTTCTTTTGCTGTGCAGAAGCTCTTTAGTTTAATTGGATCCCATTTGTCAATTTTGGCTTTCGGTTCCATTGCTTTTGGTGTTTTAGACATGAAGTCCTTGCCCATGCCTATGTCCTGAAAGGTATTACCTAGTTTTTCTTCTAGGGTTTTTATGGTTTTATATCTAACATTTAAGCCTTTAATCCATCTTGAATTAATTTTTGTATAAGGTGTAAGGAAGGGATCCAGTTTCAGCTTTCTACTTATGGCTAGCCAGTTTGCCCAGTGCCATTTATTAAATAGGGAATCCTTTTCCCATTTCTTGTTTTTGTCAGGTTTGTCAAAGATCAGATGGTTGTAGATGTGTGGTATTATTTCTGAGGGCTCTGTTCTGTTCCATTGGTCTATATGTCTGTTTTGGTACCAGTACCATGCTGTTTTGGTTACTGTAGCCTTGTAGTATAGTTTGAAGTCAGGTAGCATGATGCCTCCAGCTTTGTTCTTTTGGCTTAGGACTGTCTTGGCAATGCAGGCTCTTTTTTGGTTCCATATGAACTTTAAAGTAGTTTTTTCCCAATTCTGTGAAGAAAGTCATTGGTAGCTTAATGGGGATGGCACTGAATCTATAAATTACCTTGGGCAGTATGGCCATTTTCACGATATTGATTCTTCCTATCCATGAGCATGGAATGTTCTTCCATTTGTTTGTGTCCTCTTTTATTTCATTGAGCAGTGGTTTGTAGTTCTCCTTGAAGAGGTCCTTCACATCCCTTGTAAGTTGTATTCCTAGCTATTTTATTCTCTTTGAAGCAATTGTGAATGGGAGTTCACTCATGATTTGGCTCTCTGTTTGTCTGTTATTGGTGTATAAGAATGCTAGTAATTTTTGCACATTGATTTTGTATCCT